CATACTCACTTCTTGTATGGTATTAACTACACATGACTCATCAGTGTTTATTGTGTGTTGGGTTATTTGAATTTTTTGTTTGAAGTATCCACCTTTTGATGAAGTCCATACCGAAAGGTATCAGAATCTGCAAAGTTGTGTTTTACGTTGCATGTGACTTTTAAGTATCCACCTTCCAAGCATAAATTCGACTGCCTCCGTGGTGTAGTGGTAAGAGCGTCCGCCCGATGAGCGGAAGGTTTGATCCCCGTCCGTGTCATACCAAAAGACATTAAAATATGGTACTTGTTGGTCCCTGCCTGGCGCTCGGCATTAATGGGTACATCAAGGACTGGTCGGCTCGGAGTCAGTATAATGTGTCTGAGTGGGTTATTCATGCTTCAGTGCGGCTTGGTATCTCATTGGGCATTATAAAACCAGCTTCAGTCTGGGCTAGTACAAGCAGCCGCACATAGACATACACACGCATGCACGTCGTCATATGAGCGAAATATTCTCAAGCACGACGTTAAACCCAATTTCACCTCACCAAGCATAAATTCAACTTGTTCCTGGTATGAAGTGAGTGAGTTTAATTTGATGCCGCCTTTAGCAATATTCTAGCAATATGCCGGGAAACTGCAGAAATAGAGAATATTACACTCGGTCTCATTATATACAAATTATACGAAACAAGTGTCCTTCCTGTGGTATCTGACCGAGCGAAAGCGAGTTTCATATAATTCGTATGTAATGAGACCCGAGTGTGGTATTTTATTTATTACCCACGTCTTACATGCATTAAATTGACAAAATAGCGTATTTTTGTTATTGCTATGGTTTCAAACCTAAACCGGTTTCATAAAGAGGTTGAGGAAGAATTTTGTTCTGTAGTACACTTTTTGCATGACGTCACATTGTATTGACTTCACTTCGCCATTCTCGCCTGTCTCCTTCGTAACCGACGTCACGATGCATGTCAGTTGTCATCGCCTCTCGTACAGCCTCCTACAGTAAACTACTCCATGGCAACCCGTTTCTTGGTTTGCAACTGCTTCACTCGGCTAACATCACTGGTGGAAACATTGCGTTTATGTTTTTCGACGGATATAATGTCTCAGTTCGACTCACAATTAAACAGCGACACGGCAACGTTCGCAATGTTTACATTCCCACAATGCATCTAAGTTGTAGAATGAATGAATTCACGTGTTTGTTATGAATGGACAAGTAGTTCTGTCACAACGTGACCTAACTGAGAGGTCATCGGTTATCCAATCAAATCATTAGAATCTCAGGTCACGTCGTTACGACACAGGTCAACTTGATACGACATTCGTGTGACATACGAGATTAGTATGCAACTACCCATACGTTGACCGTGTGGGTAATAAATGGGCTTAACACATTGTAACCATGTGGGGAATTAAACCTGGGTCTTCGGCATGACAAGCAAACACTTCAACCACTAGGCTACCCCACCACCCTTCTGTTTGATAACCACGGTCACCTGAATCTGTCGTGGCTTGACATTTGGGGCTGGCTATCAATGTAGGACATAAAGATCTACTAAATATTGATAGATTATTGACATATACTCCCCATCAAAAGTTTAGACTCGCTAGTGTAAATGTAGCCACTTACTTAAGTCAACTCTTCTAAACTAGATTTTGCAATTTTTTTGTAAGTGGTGACATATTTATGCTTGGAGTACTAACAAACCACTGACGTGAGCATAACTTGGAAGCAGCATGTGAATAAAAACCTGCTTTTGAGTAAATGTAAACTTAATTTTATCAAAATAGTTTATATTTATTATTATCAATGACAGAATTTTTCATATCGATAACCATTAATAGTTCTCTGTTTTCTTCCACACACACGCACGTCATGCACATACACGCGTGCGACAATGTTTCCGATAATCAATCTTCTTAGCCATCCCTAATGACATGTTGCCTATTCTAGTATGAAAGAATCAGGAAATCCTTAACTTATTTTGAGTAGAATATGATTGCGTGTTTTGATCCCATAATTACTCTGATTGTGATCATTGGTTTGGTCACACGATGGCTTTCTTCTGGGGTTTGAACTGATTCACCAGTTAATTATACAACACTGTGATAAAACTGAAAGAATGTTCAGAGTAACCATGGTAACATCAAACACGACTCACTAGTCACAGTGGTGAACGTTAGATTATTTCCATCCTGCTTTTAGCGGTTGGCATGGTTAGTTTGACTCTTGTTGAATGTAGCATTAAACAACGAACAAGTGTGTGAAATGAATAATGATTTCATTGCTGCCATGATTGTGGACTTAACTTAAATATTGTTATAACTGACTCTGTCTGTATGTATTTGTAAGACTGGCTTTGTTTGTTGGAATAGCCTTGTGAAATCACCAGTCAAAGCAAAACCCACATGAGTTTCCATGTTAACTCTTTTGGTTTGTTTATGTCAACTTAAAAATAAGTTCAACTGTTGTGTGAGTTTAGGTTTTACACTGATTTCAAGAGTATTTCAGTTATATCACATCAACATTAGGATTCTATTTTTTTTAGCGGGAAAAATTAATTATTATTTTCTTATTCTTGAAAAAATAGACCGGCGGATCCGTAAAACAAGAAATAAAATTGATCTGGCCTTACAAGTATTCATAAATATTCGATTCTAGAGACCACGGATAATAAATTCTGTTCATGAAGGGATACGGTTTGATTCACCAAATACGTGAGTGAATTGTAACTGGACTAACAGATTCCTTCACTTGCAAGTCAACAATGAATATTAAATACAGTATTGTAGTTGACAAGAGACTTCAAACACATATCCTTTAAATGATGGATATGTTTGTGGATGGTGCCTCCATGACAAATCTGTAACGTGTCTTCATAAATCTCACAAGTGTTTCCAGTGGATCAAAGGCACTCTGTGATGATGAATTAGATATGCACCATCGTTCCATGCATAGTAATGCTTAATTTCATGTTGTACCATATAATACCGTAGATAAGCAGAATTTTGATGACCCAAAAAAGCAGTCTGTAGAAGGGGGTCGGCTTATCTATGGGTTACACTTTCGTCAAACTTTATTCCAGGGGGTAAGAAAATGACACTGTATCGCTTCGCGTGAACAAACAAACAAGAGAAGACGACTTTGTCAGTAAAGACGTTAAATTTGCAATTAAACGTCACTGGACAAGATTATTTACCTTTAAGTTATAATTTGTTTTTGCTGGGCATTGTATTATTTGCAGGCATTAAGATTACCGTGTGTATTTGTCTCATATATAGAGCCGGAAATGGCAATCAGCTCTGCACATGTTCCTGGCAATCTACCGGGGATTTAGTTAAGACATAGACCATAATATAACTGTATGAATTTTAATACATAATACTATTTAACCCAAAGAAATATATCCTAGCATTGTGTAATTTTAATTACAGGTTTTGCTCTATAAATGTAAAATATATATAATCAACACTAAGGTTATACAGACCCTCATGAACATGGTAAGCGGAAGTTGTACACACATGGAATGAGATTAAATAAGCATGCCATTTTAGTTCACACACGTTTTCACCGATGTTACTGTAAACTAGCGGTCCATGTTCATGAGTGTCCGTATAACCTTACAAGGCACTTGCACTGGTGCAACCCAATATTACAAAGTGCAACCTAGTTATTTGTCTAATTTGCAAGTCAATTTTTGAGAAATAAATCAACAATAAATCTAACATTATAAGCATAAATATGTCAGCTCATTTTTCTTCAAGACTTGAATAATTCAATTGCATATTTCTTTTAATACATATTGCAATAAAAGCAGTGCAGCTGGTATTTGGCTGGTGCAACTAGGTTTTTATCATAGGTTGCACCTGGTGCAAGTAGGTTAGCATCTCTTAAATCAAGCTGTGCCTTAGTGTTGATTATGTATATTTTACATTTATATAAATTATAAATATATGATCATATATTATAATATATACACGAACAGTATGTGATCATTGTTGATTAATCATCGCTTTTGTGTGTTTGTTATTAATATTAATAATCATATAAGAAACTCATGCTGATACTTGACGTGCACAAATTATTACTATTTATTATAATTAGAAACTCATGTTGATTCTTGATGTGCACAAACTATTAATATTAATCATATTAGAAACTTATGCTGATACTTCTAGCTGTTGGTCCTGTAATTTATAGCTGAGGTTGACGTGGCAGGACACCTGTGACTTGTTTCCTGTCTTGGTTAGTAGTATCAGTTGAAAGTATGTGTGACAGTCAGTGGCAAGGGTTGAAATTAACGGACATTGATATGCTAAATGCATTTAAAAATCATAATAGCGTTCAGTTTTTTTGTAAAGGCCGACTTTTTTAGTGTCCAATGTTTTTGTTGATTTAAATCAGAAAAATTATGAAAATGGCCTCATGAAAACATCGTCAATCATACTAAGTTTGGAGTTATGAGAATGGTCGTATAAAAACATTGTCATACTCAGTTTTGAGTTATTTCCCTTTATTTATTGACAACAATTAACAAAGGATTCCGAATTTAAAATCCACAGAACTTGCTTAGTGTATCATCAGGGTTTTCCGATTCAATGATGGCGGACCAAAGCAACAGCGTGCATTTGTCAAATTTGGCATTTATGATCGAATATTATTACTAATAACATGACAACAAACTACTTAAAACGGAAGTGTGAATGGGAAAGTGGTGAGGAATTGGGGATAAGTCCTGACAAAAAGAAAACTGCCGGTCACGCCAAGAAATCTAGTAAAGCTGTGGGCATTGTAGGTTTAACATGTCAACATGATGTAATTTGGGAATAATTTTTATGTTTTTGCTTATTGCAGTTTCATTTTGCTTGGAGCTTAAAAAGTCACAAGCAGTATTTTGCTTTTGCTGTAAGAAGTGTTGTTCTAGCCTTGAAAGGCTTTCTTGTCATTGCCCTTATGCTAAAAGTTATAACTTTTAAAGCAAAAAGTTCACCATATATTTGTTTCAGTTCGGGATGTGTACGACTACTTCCGTGCCATCCTTGCTGCGGAGGAGAGAAGTGACCGGGCTCTGGAGCTGACGAAAGACGCGGCTGAACTCAACCCAGCAAACTACACTGTCTGGTGAGTAGTAGCGTTCAGAGGGAGGATAAAAGATCAGCTGAAGTCAGATGAGGGATGACAAAATACCAGCATTCAGAGGGGGGATAACAGATCAGCGGAAGTCAGATGGAGGGGTGACAAAATATCAGAATTCAGAGGGGGGATAACAGATCAGCAAAAGTCAGATGTGGGGACAACAAATTACCAGCTTTCAGAGGGGGGATAACAGATCTGCTGAAGTCAGAGTTGGATAACAGATCTGCAGAAGTCAGAGGTTTGATAACAGATCAGTAGCAATCAGAAAGGGACAGTAGACAGTTGCTACAATGCTAGTACCTCTGGGGATTCCACTGGAATAGATCCCTAGCAAACCATGCTGGCTAAAGAATGGATCTGTGATGGATATGGTATACAATAGCAGTTGGACTCTCAGTATTGAAAGAAGGACCTTTCTGAGAAAGTGTATAAGGGACCGTTCATAATCTATGGCTAGGGGGGTGATGATGATTTTTTGAAATTTTTTTGGGGGGGTGTCACCCATTTTGTTCTGGGGAGCTAGGAAGGGGGTCATCAATTTTGTACATAAAAGTATGTTTAGAATTATGCTTAGAAATTATGGGAAGGGGGTGGGGGTCATTGTACATGGCATGCAGGGGTCACTTATTTTGTACATAAATTGGGGGTCATTCACATTGTATATGCTTCTCCATAAAAATCATCATCACTCCCCTAGCCATAACTTATGAACGGTCCCTAACAAATATAATATGTGTTACATTTGACCACTGTTTAAATTACATTATGTATTTATTGTGTTTGCTGTGCCAATTTACGCTTGTCAGAGGGATACACAAATTCTGTGGTATAGACTACCAAATGTCCAACTTTTTTAGGGGAGCCATTGTGGCTGAGCGGGTCAGACGGCTGACTTTGTGTGCTGGCGATTAGGTGCCTGATTCTGAGAGTGTGGGTTCGAATCCCGGATGGGTCTCAACCCAACAAACGTACTAGAATCTGTACTTTACTGAAAGTGTGTAATCCCAAATATTGTATGTGTTACTCAAGACTAGCAACAAGTCTGTAAGAACCCCAAACCTTGTCATGACTAGCTTACTATAGTATTACCTTAAACTATTCGGCCTACATGCTCAGACGAGACGCCACAGAACCTTTGTCCTATATTGAGTTCACCACCAGTCCACCAACCATTAAGTCACAGATATCAGTGGTATAATAGTGTATATGCCCTCACAAACTGGGTCATTAAACACGTCTGGGCTATCTCTAGCTGATACAATATTCATGATACTTAGGATTACATTATGGTGTGAAATGAACACTGTTGTTCGGCTGACCTTGACAATCATGTACAAGGTCAGACACTGAGTAATGATACTAATATCAATTGGACCTGTCAACATAGATTGTGTGACTATTGCGCAGGTACTGCTTGGTCGGATTTGAAAGTATTGGGGCATAAAGAAAAGATAAATAGATTGTGTTTTTGAAAAGCCCAAACAAGAAACATTGACAAGATTTGAAATGACCTTGGAGTTGTGTGAATTTGAAAGCAAGATCTTAATATTCTGTATATCGATTCAATGTGGGCTGCATAGTGTTAACCCTTTTTATACTCCATGTTCAACTGAATATATTTCCTGTCATTGTCATGGTGCATAATGGGATTGTATTACGGACATGATGTTATACTGCAATAAGCTTTCAGACAATTGGTTTTGAAACAGTTCTGATATTACTTATATTCATGGCATTGCTTAACCTAAATTCTAAGCCGAAGTGTGCTGTGTGCCTCCCGTTCTCTCTCCCTACTTTTCTCTTTCATTCTTTTTTTCTCTCCCTTTCTCTCCCTATCCGTGAAGATCCGGGTTAGAATTGGTCTTCAGCAACCCATGCTTGTAAGAGGTGACTAACGGGATCGGGTGGTCAGGCTCACTGACTTGGTTGACACATGTCATCGGTTCCCAATTGTGCAGATCGATGCTCATGCTGTTGATCACTGGAATGTCTGGTCCAGACTCGATTATTTACAGATCGCCGCCATATAGCTGGAATATTGCTGAGTGAGGCGTAAAAACCCTCACTCACTCTCTTCCCTCTCCCCTTCACTTCTCTCTCTCTCTCTCTCTCTTTTCCCTGACCGCGTCATACCAAAAAGACGTTAAAATATGGCACTTGTTGGTCCCTGCCTCGCGCTCATGCATTAAAGGGTATATCAAGGACTGGTCGGCTCGAATTCAGTATAATGTGTCTGAGTGGGGTATTCATGCTTCACTGCGGCATGGTATCTCAGTGGGCTAGCACTATAAAACCAGCTTCAGTCTGGGCTAGTACAAGCAGCCGCACATACACATGCACACGCATGCACATCGTCATATGAGCGAAATATTCTCCAGTGCAACGTTAAACCCAATTTCACCTCTCCTCACCTCTCACTCTCTCTCTCTCACAATATGGCTGAAATATTGCCAATGTGACATTAAATTCTAACTCACTCACTCTCTCTCTCCCTGCTTTTTTATTCACTGATCATGATACAAATCTCAGCTGTTAATGACTAGAACTGTGTTAGAAAAGGTGTTTCATTAGAAAGTAAACCACAAAAAGGAATTATTCATGAACTTGCCTCATCAGCCACTGTTTATCGGGATCCCCGATCATCATTCGCTTCCAGTATTGTCTTCAGCTGATACATGTAACTTAACCCATCATATCCTATATATCTAATCCTGATGAAGCTTCAGTTTTTGTATATACCAGTTTTGTTTGATGTCAATGGTGACATGAATCATGAATGAAATACACAATGCCATTTTAGAAAGTTGTCAAATGTAGCATATGTTACAGGGGTGGAAATAACCCATTGCCCGACGCCCGAGTCCAGGGTTTTTTTCTGTCGGGCAAGCAAATTAGTATATCACACTGTACCGGTGTCCAGTTGATATTCCAATGTTAATGATAAGTTGTTTATTTTAAAAAATCAACAAGAAAACGCCCGGTATAGTGGAAAAATTATCAGGGCAAGTGATTTTACATGTGCCACTGTACCGGAGTACACTATCAATTTTAAAGTTATTTCCACCCCTGTGTTATATTTGGGATTACACTTTCTTAGTAAAGTACAGCTTCTAGTACTTTTTGGGTTGAGTCCCATCCGGGATTCGAACCCACACCCTCAGAGTCTGACACCTAGACGGCTCAGCCACCGCTCAGCCTCAGCCATAAATCATGTTCCTGGTAAAGGAACTGTTGTCTCCCTAAAGATCCACATTTGAAAACAAAAAAAAGTGTGTTAATTTTTGTTCCATTTAAATCAGTAACATTGATTAACTGGTTAGAATATAGCTTGATTCACCTGTTGATAAGGTTTAACATGATACCACGCAATATGACTATGTTCATTGGTATCAAGTGACTCACTGTGGACAACAGTGTAGAAACTAACTTTTCAGCTCGCTGGTCCACAGGACCAGTTCTTTTCAAACCTACTGACCCTATCAAGTATCATCTGGCCGGCCCTGTCAATATTCATAACTTCATAACAATAAATAAGATGTCAGTATACGGTATATAAATAATTGTATTCAATGCAAACTGATATGGATCTGTGTCTGTAATGTACAATTCATATTTTTATCAAATTTCGTTTTTATCCCACCAGCATATAATGCAGGAGATGTAGTCAACACCTTGTCCTTCCATCCGTCTGTAAACTGTAATCTAAATTTTATCTTCAGGGCAAAATGTAAATCAAATTTGTATGTCAACTATCAGTATTAATAGTCGAGTTCAAAGTTGCGGGTGAAAGTCGAGGGGTGCTTGACTTTCGTTAAGGTTACAGAAAAGATTTGAGGGTTCTTGGATAGATTTACTAGCTCCAATAACTTCCACTGTCCCATTTATGTGCAGTGTGACATTTGCAGCTTTGTCTAAATAAACATGGGTCTGACAGGGCGGTTGGGTAACCTAGAGAGGTTAAGGGTTTGCTCCTTACGCTGGAGACCAGGGTTTGATTCCCCAAAATGGTACAGTGTCTAAAGACCATTTCTGTTGTCCCCTGCTGTGACATTACTGTGGCGTAAAACCTTGCTCCCTCACTCATTCATTCACTCACTCACACACTCATTCCTCCAGTATTTGGCAGTGTAGTCTAACACCTAGTCTCTGTATATTTATAATATGGATAGAGTGAGTGAGTGAATTTAGTTTTATGCCGACTGTAACAATGACCATTTTAATGTCTTCATGATATTATCTCGACTGCACAATCCAATCTCCGCCTAATAAAACTAGCGAGTGAGTGAGTTTGGTTTTACGCCGCACTCAGCAATATTTCAAAAGTGGCGTAAAACCAACATCAGTCATTATCAATAGCCAATTACAATGGAGAAATGCATTTTGCTGCAGACTAGAAATGATTTATTCCTGATTAAGTAGAAGGTAATCCTGACACAGTAAACTGACGTTTAACACTGTTGTATAATATTGCATAAGTTGATTTGTACTACTAATCTGCATTTGATCAAGATACCTTTGTACCCTTGAACATCCCGGTTAGAACTGGTCTTCAGCAACCCACGCTTGTTGTAAGAGGCGACTAACAGAATCGGCTGACAATCGTATCCCAATTGCGTTGATCGATGTTCATGCTGTTGATCACTCAATTGTCGGATCCAGACTCGACTATTTACCAGTCAGAGACGTAACGGTAATGCCGAGACGCCTATCGCCTCTGCGGTATGCGACGGGTAGCTCATGCGGGTACTAACTGGAAGCTTGACCCTAATTAATTCAATCACCGTGGAACCAACTGGATTGGGTGCGAACACGGTAAAGCGGGTGATTAAAGCCGCCCCGTAAAATCACCAAGCGTGGTGGTTACTTGACAGTCGTGGAATAAACAGGTTTCTCGGAAAGAAACACCAATGCCCAGGGTCTGTTGTTTACATATGCAAGTTACGTAAAAATAATTAATCGCATTTGAAAAATTGATTTATTTTAGT